AAAAAAAAACAAAACACCTGAGTCACCTGTATGGAGAAAAAAAAAACAGAAGAGAAAGCAAACAACAAAGAGCAACATAATAAAAAAAACGGGTGTACACGGGTATTCACAGACACAATCTGACCATTACCGGCACACTTTTGCACGGGAGGTTTTCGTAAAGCTTATATTTTGGTATTTCCGTTGATCCGTACAATAAATTTGCATGTTAGCTAAATATTTAGTTTCCTGTAACATTTAGATTTAACATTTAACATTTAGATTTAAATATAATATTTAGATTTAACATTTATCATTTAGATGTAATATTTAACACTTAGATTTAACATTTAAAATTTTGTTTTAAATATAAAAAGTTACAAATATTTTACTAAATGTTGTAAAAAAAAGACTGGAAAAAACATGTTTTTGTAAGGTTTTGAGCTAAATGTGGAAAAATGTTGCCGTTAATTTCAGCATGTTTCACTTTACAAACGGCGCCCCATAATCCTTGAACCTTCCCCCAGAGAGAGAAACTTTCACAACAGGATTGTCTACAGACACATGGTTCCAGGGCACACATTAAGTGTACATGACTGCAAAGCAAATGTGTTAAATTTAGTTATGTGGTGGAGAGGAAAACTCATCGGAGCCTGAGCTCCCAGATGCTGCATTCACATTTCTCCCTGAAGTACAGACTGACTCTGGGTTAACACTTTAAGTCCTCACAACTCTCTGGTTGGTTTGGAACTAATCCTAGACTCGGAGGCAGCGAGTTCAGTCACGCAAAAAAGCAGAGTTAACAGCCTCAGAGGGGATTACTGTCTCTTTGGACTCTGCTGGTTGAAAAGCACAGTGGGTTTTGGAATGATATTCAGAACTCCCCATCTTCCCCCACTAGAAACAGTCTTTGACACTGAATCAACAGGATTTTCAGTAGAGTCAGATGCCAAATTAACACAAACAGAAGCAAAAACATAATCGTTAACGGAAGAACTGGAGGCCCTGATCCCAGCATCAGAGTTGACTGTCTCCTGATTGGTGATTTCAGTACTGGAGCTAAACAGTTCAGAAATATGACCCCTATTATTTTCAAGGGAACAGAATTCAGTCTTTGAGTTCATAACATAATCACAATCGTCATTCCTGCTATCCTGACCAGGAACGCTGAAACCAGGCGAATCGTCCATGTTGAAAGCAGCCAACCCCTACTCACTCTCTTGATTCTACATCTAAGGGTCTGGAGTAAATATCAGAAATACTCACTACTAGACGGTTCGTGGACAACAACACCACCGGTGGCGTTAGGTGTGTTGCAGCAGGGACACATGTAAAAGTTTCAGGACACCAGCCCTCGATGATTGGAGTTTGAGACCCCTGCGCTACACTATATGTGCGTACCATATTTTGTGCCATAATCTGTTTTCATTTGCTCTCATACAGGACAGACAAGGACAAAGAGACTAAAAGTCCTTATCTCTTAATTTACTGGTATGGTTGGGTCGAATACACAAATGAGCAGGTGGTGACAACTGCCTGCAAGATGCGTGTCTACAAATTTCCCTTTGATGTTCAAAGGTGCAACATCACCTTCAAGTCTATCATGCATTCTGGTGAGTCAATATCAAGTTCTACTTACATGTGTTTTTCGTACTCTCATATATATAAACCATGAAATATCACAACATATAGTCCTTTGTTCATCTGCTCACATTTATTTTTCTATTCCATTTTAGATAAGGAAATAGACTTAATTTACAACAAAAACAATGAATCGTTGACAAATTTGACACGCAGCATAATGTGGACCCAGTACGAGTGGACATTCGAGAACTTGACAGCCACAAACATATCCAGCATTATGGATTCAGATAAAACTGTAATTATGTACACGGTAAGTACTTCTTAACCTCTTAGGTCCTGGCGTCCACATATTGGGTCATCACATTTTAGGTTTAGACCACAATACTAAATTTTGCAAAGATTTCCAAATAGCAAAGAGAAATTAAAAATGCATGCCATGAAAGAGTTTGGGTCTTAGGAGGTTAAAGCAGAAACACAGATGTGGAAATTGAGTCATTAGCCACATTTTAATAACATTTGTAATGAAAACAAAATTGCAGTTTGTTTTGAAAGGGTTTTAAAAACTCAGCAAAAAAGTTGTTTTCCTTGTGGTTTCTTTCCCCCTGAAGCATACACAGCATTTATTGGACAAGTACTAGATTTCTTTATCCTCCTAACCCTCTTTTAAGTACAATCTAAAAAGGCCTGCAGCCACTTACCACATCCTCAGCACATCATGGCTTATACTGTAAACTTGCTGTTCCATACAG